TTCCCACTACAAGAAGCGGCGTCGCTATACTGTATGAAGGTTACAGTAGTATACTGGGAACGTTTTGATCGCCTCATGAATCATGGCTCTTCTGGTTGGCGATAATTCGCTTTCGCTATCGCTTATCAAAATACCCGAGGTTCCGTCACTTAATGGAGAAGCAGCAATATTATGTTACGGTATGACCCATCTTTGAGCTCGTTCAGATTACAACACAAAGAAAAAAATTCAAAGAAAAATCGCTTTTACTCAACACCTAATTGCAGTTCCACTGAAATACCGTAAGCAGAAAGGGTAGAGCTCCCTCAGACTTTATCACCAGCGACAGTATGATATCACCGCCTGTCATTTTGTCATTTTTTGCATTTTATACGTGACAGCAGAAAAATGCAAGGCAGTAAAACATGAAAAGGTGGAAGTAGTAAGAAATTAATGGAACGAGAAACTTAAAATTACTAAAACGGACTAGAAATCCTCTAAATTAAACTATGTCGGCAAATAATGCGAATGCTAATCTCTTCAAATTACTAGTCACATTTTTTATAAATAGCTGAATATTCAGGAAAATTTCGTTCTGTACAATTGTAGTGAGGAGTGTGGGATATTTTTTTCAACTAAATTTTATCTGAATGCACCTCCATCACTTTTTCGTACATTCTACCGATGAAATAAAAATTCTGTACCCTTTAACACCCTCCTATCATTTAGGTGAACAAGTAGAAATTAAGACAACTTTTCAAAGTAGACAAAAACTTCTCGTTGAATTTTTGCTTTTGGCGCCACCACTTTTTTCTCCTAATCCGTTAATAAAAACGTGAGGCTCACCTTGGCTTAAATCACGAGTACGGTAATAATATGGCGTATTTGTTTTCGCATTAAAAAATCGACTGAAGTAAAAAGAGTCTGAGCAATCCCCTCAATTGCTTAAACAATGGGTTGAATTGAGTTGATCAAAGAATGTTTGAAGAGAATTAGTAAGAATATGTAACTATTGCAAGGGAATACATTTGGGAATTGTTAAAATGCACCTAGGAGTTCTGTAGAAATGCTCAAAACAGTAAGGTAAAGTGAATTTAAGGCAGTAAGTTGAAATGAATAGTGCTCGAATCGATCGCGCAACGCCCAAATCGTTAACGGATCGAAGTCCAAAGTACAACGAGCTCCGAGTAAAAAACAAGGTCATTACTCGTCTCGGGCAAATTCCTTTTTTTGTATTCTAAGTACTGTGGGAAGAATTCAATGGTATCAATCCTTACCTATGAAAAGTTTAGGGACTGTTCTAGAAAATGATTCGGTACCATTTTGCAGAGTAAGCTCTGACGTTTTTTCTTGATGAAATAAAGAATTTTTGTATATGTTATTGTGAAGCTGCTTTTTTTCGATGGCAATTAAAGGAAAATAACAAGAGCGTGAAAAAAGTCTGCAAAAACAGACGTGGGAGCCGAAGTAATCCTGGTTTTTACACGCGATTAGACCACGTTATGGTCCACTGCGACTTATATTTAGAGTATTTGTACCTGAAATGTGACAGTATAAACAGTAGAACTCTAAGCTTCGACCAATCTATGTTCAAAACGCCCCTCGCATCGGAAACTTGCTTTGCCCTCGCAAGCAATATTTTTCTGGGTTCTGTTCCACTGACTAGGCATGTGAGAGTGGCGCCACTCACCACTCACCTTTTTCTGCTGTTCCTTGAAAATATCCTAAAAGTTTCCTTTTCATAGCAATAAAAAAAAACTTGTCTGCGAATCTATTATTTACCATTCTTGGATCACCATTGGGATGTAGTATTACTTGAAGTTACAAAAAAAGGTAAGATGTTTATATAGTATAGAATACTAGTAAGTATTGCAAGATAATAGTTTCAATCAGATTCGCCCATACATACATGACTAGGAGCCGCAAAAAGGATAACGAAGAAAAGAAACTTATTCTAATGGGCAAATAAGAGGTGTTTAGGATCGAGTTTTCAAAAGCATCTTTACAAAAAGGAAACCCTGAAACAATGAAAATGCTCTAATATACTAAGATTGACCATCCCTCAAAGAAGTCCATGGTGATACACGCCATGTTTTTGATTCTTTCCCTGTAATTTTGTCTTCAATCCTCGTACATGAGAATCACTATTTCTTTGCAATATGACTCATCCTCACTGCATTCTTTTTTTTCGGTCCCCTTTCCTCAGCGAAACCTTTACCGGGTTGCTTTTAGTCTGAAGATTTCATTGTAGATTTCACTCATTTATTACGCTTTCAGAAAAGACGTATTTGCTGTGGGAAATTCGATCAGTTATATACATAGAAGAAAACGAAGGAATTATCATTGCTCAAAAAGAGATTACACAAGCACGATAATTTTCAGGTAATACAGTATTCACCAAAGACAAAATCAACTACTATCGTCAACTATGGCATATATGTCTCGGAAGTTACATGCGTAGAAATACAGTAAAGTGAAAACCTTTCTTTCGGCGATGAACGTTCAACGAAAGAACCTTGGAAGATCCCAAAATTCTCAACTGCTTACATGAAGTAAAATGCAGCCCGCAAATCGTCAGCAAGGATGAGACATTCGTTAAAGTGCCAGAAAAAAGCCAAGTTGAGAAAATAAGAAAAGTTACATCTACATGTTTCTCAATGCGGCAAGACGTTGAGTAAGGTCCGAGTCGTCAGCAACAGATTGCGCTGCAGCTGGTACCGTGGTAGGTACATTTGATGGCAGCTCGGCGTTGAGTTCGATACTAAACAACCCATTATAATATTTAAAAGAGTATGGTGAAAAAGTAAAATACTCATCAAAATAGCTGGTATGCTTCAATAGCCATCAACAGTTCTCCAGGTACACATACCAACATACTTTTTTCTACCAATCCAAAATTTCAATTTTTAATTTATCCTATCATGATTGAAGCCCGAATTTTGTGGCAACGTAAGTGAATACATTTACTAAAATTTACTATACCGGCCGGAGAACCTTTGAAAAACTCTCTCAAAAAGCTAGTATTGCTTCTTCTCCAAAAAATCTTCCAACTAAGAGAGGAAAACACATGAGTTTAAAAACAAGTAACATCGAAATTGTGAGTTAGGAAAAAAGATCAAAAACAGACAAAACGTTTGAGTATCCCATAGATTGCGAGTAGTCGAAAGGTCTACGGTGGTGTCCAGCAGAAATAAAAGTGAAAAGATAAACAAAATGTTCAACAAGAGTACGTACCCAGCCTTATCAGCCGCTTCAGCGATGAGAGCATCAACTTGCGATTTAGGAGCATTAAGAACCGTGGTGCCGTCCATGGTACGCTCCATTGTTGCAGTATGAACGTCGAGATTTTCAAAGTCACGCTCGAAACGATCCATTAACTGTTGAACCTGGAAAACATGATGCTTCTCGCGAAACATTCAAAAGATAATAAAATGATAATATTCGAAAGCATTTTTTGAGCCCCATCTAATTTTAATACAAGTAAGAAATTGTATACCACTAAACTAACAAAACTGTTTACCTTCTCGAGGTTCATTGTCTTCATGGCACTTTCCATAGCTTTAACAACACCACTCATGCTACTTGTCACTCGCTTCTGAAAATTTTGACAAATCTTCAGTAGATCTTGAAATTGAAACTCAACTTCAAGACACTAATTCGAGGATAGAAGAAAAATTCACCTGTGTAGCAGCAGTTTGCACTCGAGCAGCAACAGCATCTATCCGGGCAGCCATACGAATATAGTTCACTGCTTCATTCTTCTTCCGGATAGCATTTTCTGCGTGAACTTGGGCTACCTCCCTATTGCCTTTCTAAACAGTAAATGGAAAGCTAAAGTTAGTCTAAATCCTGCTATAGTAGCTCGAAAAAAGGTAAAGGAATGAGGAAACTTTTTCAATAATTTTTAAGCAGTGACATAAATTCGGCTTTCAAGTGCCAGCTGACACGTTAAATTATGAAACTTTGAGTCGCTCATCAAGCAGCTTTTTCAAACGTGCTTTCGATCAAGTGAAACGTGGTAAATTACAATTTTAGGTACATTTAAGAGAGATTAATATAATGCCAAAAACGCAAGTGACTGTAAAAATTCACGAATATTGGTTAAGTAAGCAAAACACTCGAAACTACTCCCTAAATAATAGCCAGGCATTTAGAAATAGAACAAAAAAGTGGAAAAGTGGTAGAGTCGGGTTTTTAATTAGCCGCAATTTGCTAGTCCAGACCATTGTAATAGACTTATTTTCACGAGAACGGTTTACCAGGAACAGTACTAGGTACTAGGCAATGCCGATCACTGTTCTTTAGTTAAGAAGGCCTAATGTTTTCGTGTTCGTTGATAAGGATCAAAAATTTCAAGAGTCTTCGAATTCCCAAACCTTTCATAGGATCCAAATCACAATGGCTGTTCCTGCTGATTCAAAACTGAAATTAATACCTACTGAAAATTAGCCCACCCGACATAATCTCTTTCTCGCCACAATGAGGGACCTCGGGCAACTGCCAAGATTGTTCTACAGTGAGAGCTGTGTATGGTCCAATATGAACATACCTTAATAGCTGCTGTAAGTTTATCTTTCTCGACTTTCTCCTGTTTTTCGCAGCGCTGAGCACTTTTCTCCAGTTGCTTTGCAGCAAATTTCAGCTCGAACAAATGCTCTTAATATGGTACGTTCAAGAAAAGGAACTGAATATGAGAGTAGTAGAACCTACTGTCGAGTGACATTGTGCTATCACCTTGACCCAGCTTCGGTTATGGTTGGGAGGTCGTGCTTGGGGAGCACGGTGCCTAAAGCATATTTTTAAGAAACAAAGCACAACAAAAAATAGGGTGGCATGCAGTTATCAGGTAAATAATATCAGTGGGAAGTCTATAACATAAAGCACAATGGAGAAGAAGTAGGCATTCCACTCAAATTTCAGACAACAACCACGCTCAAAGCAAGCACTAGACCAAGCATGCAGGAAAGAAAAGTTCAAAGTAATGAACAAAGCAAAGAACGTACGTTGATATGACGAGTCCGTTTAGAACTCTCCTAAATAAACACAGCGAAATATAATTGAACTCACTTTTTCTTAACAAAGAAAGCCGCTCGCTAGTAACGCTTGCAGTAAAGAAAAGGTACAGGTAAGCAAGTAAACAAATTTTCAGCAGAAACTCTAATAAGCTATTTGTAACGAAAAGAAGCGGATGTTTCACAACTGAAAAGATGAGTCATGAGCGAGAGAAAAAAAGGTGGGCTGAGAAATGTGGGCGGGGCGAAGTGCAAAAGGAGCGCGTTACTTCATCCTCCATCGTCTCATCACGGGAACAAACCTGATGCAGCTCTTTTCAGAAAGGGTGGGAAGGAGTTAGTGAGCTATTCAGTTTGTTAAATACGCAAGGGATCTCCCAGGACCTCAATGTAAATGGACCATATTTATTTGGAATGTTTAGTTCAAAGTCGACAGTATCACCCCTGTTAATGCAATACTGGCGGTTTCAAAAAGACGATGTAGGAAGTGAAAGCTGTCACGGTTGAACCCAGTGTACCCAGGTGAATGTATCTCGACCGTGGCAGGGGTAATACCAGCTTCGTAACCCTTGAAGAGTAGCCTCATCCTCAGGTCGTGAGGACTGAGCGCGCGGTTCTGTAGCACCGCCGAAAGGGGACATCCTGCAAGGACTAATCTTTTTTTTTTACAAAAGCCACCCAGACGGAATCCTAATCGGAAGGATCGATCGAAGTCCAAACCACAGTCGTAATCATCAAGTGAAACTTGTTCCTATGGGCGTTTACAAATGGGAGACAGAACTCAGTGCTAGGACTGGGCGCGGAATAGAGCCCGAAAAACTGATCCATCTCCACATAGCAATTTTCCCAAACACCTAATCCTTTCAGCGGGACTGCACAGTATCCCTGGTTAACATAGCTAATGTTCTGAGGGGAAGGGCAGCGGAATGAAAACGCTCAACTGTAACTGATTTTCTTGGAAAACCTTTCACTGAAGGCCCTTCAGCTCTAAAGAAATTCAAACACACGGCGCTTCCAGGATTAGTTGCAAATTATTTTTTCGTGGATCTGGGGCTATTAAATTGTTCTTGTCAACAATGGTTATTACGGTTATTATTTGTTTTTCATGTGTATTTTCGAAGCTCTTGATACTCCACTTTATTGGTTAGCTTTCGGCATATAATGCCTTCTTCAGACCTTAACTTTACAATACCTAGTTGCAAACGACCAGT